CTGCTGCCTGGACTCAGTCCAGATTCTCTTATCCTCTCTTCAAACTATTGCATGGCCTCTCTTAATTGGACTCTTACATGTAGTCTCTGCCTGATCCAATTCATTCTTCACATCACTGATATCACTTTATTGTTTAAAAAATTGCAATGCCTCTCCACCACTTATTTAAAAATTTCCAAATGTTTTAGCTTTATGTTTAAGAACCTACAACTTCAATCCTAGTTCAAGTCCCAGACTATCTTTCTAGCTTTATCTCCCTCTATTCCTCTCAATGTACTTCAACCAACTTGGACTTTTTCATTCATTGAATACACCATGAACTCAGAGCTCTCTGTTCATGGCTCCTTTAAACTCTTCCTCCTGGGATAACCATATGTCCCAATCTATGGAACTTCCAGGGTTTTCAGCTATTGTCCTGGAGTAACCATTAACAGTGAGCCCTTTGACTTGAAAGTGCCCCAGTCCGGGTGTCTACTCCATCTACCAAAATCCCATTCTTCATATGGTAGGATTCCCTTCTTGTTTAGAGATGAATAATATTCCATTGTAGGTATATGCCAAGTTTTTTCAACCTATTCATTTGTCAATAGACTTTTAAGCTGTTTCTGTATCCCGGCTAGTATGCATAATGCTGCAACAAACATGGGAATGTGGATATCTATTTGAGATCTTGATTTCAATTCTTTTGGATTTGACAACATGGATGAACCTGGAGGACATTATGCTATGGGTAATAAGCCAATCACAGAAGGACAAATGCTGTATGATTCCACTTACATGAGATATCTAAAATAGCCCAGCTCATAGAAACGGAAAGTAAAATGGTAGATGCCAACGGCTGAGGGAGAAGCAAATGGGGAGCTGTTCACCGGGTGTAAGTTTCAAATAAACATGATGGATAAATTCTGTAGATCTGCAGTACTACATTGTGCCTGTAGCTAACAATACTGCACTGAGCGCTTAAAATTTTAAGAAGGTAGGTCTTATGTTAAGTGTTCTTACCATAATAAAAAAAATGCAGTATAAAAAACATGATAATCTGTTCAATGTCATATGTTGTTATTTGAATTTAAAATTTTTCTATGAATAAACTTAATGTGGGTATCAAATAAGTGAGGGTAAATGTAAAAAATAAAATTTTAAAATATAAAAAATTTTAAATTTCATTCTTCAAATCAATTCAAATGGCACCTCCTTCGTGAAATTTCCAATTAGATGAGATCCCTCTCATCCCTGTAGACTTACAGAAATTTTGTTTGTACATCTTTAAGAATTTTTGTTTGTACCTCTGTTATAACCCAGACCAGAGGGTGGCAAACTAAAGCCTGTGGGAAAAATCTGGCATGTTGCCTGGTTTTGTACAGCTTGAGAGTTAAATATGATTGTTACATTTATAAATGGTTAAAAAAGAATTTATGACATGTTATACAAAATTCAAATGTCAGTGTCCATAAATATGTGTTTATGGCTACTTTTGTGCTATGACAGCTGAGTTGAGTAGTTGTAATAGAAACTATCTGGCCCTGTAAAGCCTAAACTATTTACTATCAGGACCTTTACTACCCCCAAATTTTGCTGACCTCTGACC